CCCCCCGTGCCCGGTCCCGCCGGTCCCCGCGGCGCGGCCTGGGCAGGCGGAGCGGTGCCGTGTTGTAGTCGCTGAATGCGACGTGATTTAAGGCCTTTTTTTCCTGCCGGCTTTACTTAACGGACTCGGTCTTTACTCTGGGAAGCAGTTGCAGTGGGGGGGAGGGTGTTAGTCGCAAGAGTAAGGCTTAAGGACTTGACCTTTAAATGATATATTGGGAAGGTACGTTGACATTCGACGGGGCATTTTCTGCCGGCGTCATTTGGGAGGAGGGCGGCTGGGTCCCCTCTGGGAAGCGGTTGCAGTGGGGGGGAGGGTGTTAGTCGCAAGAGTAAGGCTTAAGGACTTGACCTTTAAATGATATATTGTGAAGGTACGTTGACATTCGACGGGGCATTTTCTGCCGGCGTCATTTGGGAGGAGGGCGGCTGGGTCCCAAGGGCCCCGTTTCTGTAGGTGCAATAAACGCAGCTGGAAATCACCCATGGAAGGGAAGGGACAGGTAACGGCAGCCGTGGCTCACAAGCAGCTTGTGGTCTGCAGGCTGGGGAGCAGGCTCCAGGAAATGTCTTCCCAGGCCTGCACGTCGCATGCCTGCTGCACTGCTGCCACTGGCAAGCCGTAACGTGAATGCCCGATTGCCCCAAAAAAACAATTCTGCACCTAGTGGTGCTGTGTCCTGAAAAGACCCCAGATCAATTCTTCTCCTGAGCCCCACTGCAGACAATGCCGTGCGGTGACGCACACGTGAAGGATAGGCTCAGACTTTTTTTTCTCTCTGTGCCTGTCATGCTTAGATTTGCCTTCAAGCAGTTTGTATTCCTGATGAGCTGCAGTTTAAACTTGCATGCAAAATAGATGAGGTTTAGTCACGTCATTTTTGATGCCTGTATTCCAAATCTATAGTCTCAAAACTTGCACTCAGCAATTAGTGCCCTAACGATGGTAGCTAATTTAGATATACTTAGATTTTTGGTCGTAAATTCTTTTTACTGCCCACAGATCTCTGGCTAAGGCCTGCAGCTGCCAAGCACCTTGAGGCCTTGATGGGACATGCCACCTGGGTTTTGCTGTCGAGGTTTTGCCTTGCTTATGTGACCTCCGAGGCCTGGTCCAGTAGTCAGGAGCTCAGGACTCTGAAGCAGTGTAGTGTGGTGCTGATGAAGCGGGTAATGGCATCCGTCTTCTGCCACTACCTAGGGCTTGGAGCTGCAGGAGGCGCGGGATGGAAATTCCTCCTCTTTCTGAAGCAGAGTTTATAACCAAAATCTGCTTCCTCCATGGTGAGTGCTGTAACTGCTAGCATCTGGAGCGGTTTGTGGCAACTAATTCTGAATCCCTTTGAAGCATTTGTTTTGCTTAAAATGGCAAGTGGTCCACTGGGAAATGGACCAAAATATGTCCTTCTCACCTTCTGTTTTTATACGACCAAACCCATCTACGTGTTAGGTATCGCAATACTCAGCCTTCAGCCTACTTGCATATTTCGTTTCCACTGGAATTTTCCTATTTACCAAGTTCATAATCAGTGTTCCAGTGGGATTTAGACCTCTAAATATTGTTTAAAGATTTGGAGATGAAACACCTGCTTAATTACGAAAACACTGCTTCCTATGTGTCTAAATCTTCCAGCACCAAAAATGCTTTTGAAAGATGGGTCATGAGCACCCTTCACTAGGCAGCGGAGCACTTCCAACTCCTCTGAAACAGAGGACGTTCACCATGTGCCAGGATCAAGTTTTGACATTCAGAAGAATGGCTGCCAAATCTGCAGATGCTTAAATGCCTGTCGCCCAAGTGCTTGAAAGCTGTGCAAGAACAGAACAACTCACTCTGCAGAGCCACAAGCATCTCTGGAAACATGCTGGGTGAGCTCAGCGGATTTTACCATCAAATCTGCAACCTGAAGAAGGACGAGTCCAGTTATAAAATAGGCACTATATCTGAAGAAACTGAATTCTGAAAATAGCAGCAGGATTCTTTGTTCCTTGTCGCCCTGCATGAGTTTGGCATGAGGTACAGACCCCCAGACGGAAAGGTATTCAACACCTTAGAAGGCAAACGCGTACAGCTTTTTGGTCAAAGCAGTCCCTCTTCTTCTTTTGGAGGGCAATTTACCAGCGTTGCTCGTCGAAGCTTCAGCACTGTTCACTCTTGCTTGCCCGTTAGTCTTCAGAGAATTTGTGTGGGAGGAGTAGGGCAGAGTTTGGTTTGCTAAGCT